TGCCCTCTGGGAGGCTGAGGCAGGAGCATTTGAAGTTTGAGCCCCATCTCGACAACTTACATTTGAGGGAGACCCTGTGTGTAAAGCAAGGAGCCCACTGCCCCCAAATAACTGAGGTGTGTTTTCTCTCAAAGTGGAGGCAAAGTCCAAGCCTCAAGTCCAAGGTCAGCATCTGTAACCTCAAATGCAGCCTCACAGGTCCCATGCACAGGGACCTGAGGGAGCCTCCTCTCTTGCGTCTTCCAGCCTTGAAGCAGCCACAGCCCTCCCTCGCTGTGCCTTCACTCCATTTTCTGGTCCCTCTCCCTTTCCTCCCATCACACTCTCTGAGTGATGTCCCAACTGATCTGCCTCCTCCAATGGGACTCCAAGACTTCAATGGGCTCACCCTCGTGATCTGGGAAACCCCACTGCCAGGCATCCAAAGTGGAGGAAAGGCAGGGTCCCTAGGAGGAAAGAATGGATGGTTTCACAAGTGTGTCACCTGGTGACCCTAAACCATTCCCTAAAGGGGCCAGGAGGAGGGCTGCTATGGCCAGTGGCTCCTACTGCCTCTGGAGAGCTGATTGTTATATTCCCAGGAACTTTCCAAGTCAGTAGTGAAACAAAGACATTTACCAAATGGACTCCAAGGTAATGCTCCTTGCTGGCCCTCTGTATCCCTGGGAAGACTGAGCCTGGTGGTTTCAGGCCAACTAGGCAACATAACCAGGCTCCAAGAAAAGTGAGGCGGTAAGTTCACATTCAATGTATATGAAAACAATTGTGATAAATGCTAAACAGTACTTTCTGGCTTTTTCTTCATGAAACTGTTATCTATGCTCTTGAGATTCCTACCTGTTGGCTAGGATAGGATGAATTCCTAAGCCACCATACCTGGGGATGTGACATTCTTTGCAAAAAGGGCCACTGCAGCTAGAATGAGCTTAGGGGTATGGAGAGTGTCCCTGACTGGTGCCTCATAGGAACAGGAAAGGAGACAGAGAGAGATGCCCATGCAGAAGAGGCCCAGTGACAATGGGGCAGAGACTGCACTGAGGGATCTGAGGCCACCAAAGCCTACAGCAACCATCATGGCAGGAGAAGGCCAGGATGTTTGTCCCCTACGAGGCTCACAGAGACACCACCCTACCTGTACCTGAGGTTTGACTTCTGCTTCCAGGGCTGTGCGACGATACACTCAGTTGTGATGGTTGTTCTGTTTTGAGAAACACTGTGTACTTCAGGGTGGCCTCCCGCTCCACACCTACTGGAGCTCCCTGAGTGCTGGGGTAACAGGCAGGGCCACAGCACCTGGGCAGCTCTGGAACTTCAGGACACCTGCTGTGTGCGTGTTGGGACCACAGCCCTAGGAACCTGAACCATAGGGTCTTTGTGTCTCACGGTAGAAATGTAACAGACTGATGTGCTACTTTGTAACTCTCCCATACTCTATGCTTACAGGCTCTTCATGGCAGCTGGAAGGTGGCAGAGGGGCCTCTTTACCTCAGCGGAAATGGCAAGTGCTGTCACCTAGAGCTTTATTCCCATGGAGCAGCTTCCTAAAATCCTACTGGCCATCAGTCTCCATGGGTAACCAGCCAGAGCTCCCTTGCAAGTTGTTGGACTCAGAGCCCACGTTTCTGTGGATGCTGGGGAGGTGGAGCATCACTTCAGTCCTTCTGCACCATGGGAGAATCTGCAGTCGGGAGCAAAGGGGATCCTGAACCCGGAGCACACCCAGAGCTGGCACAAGGGGAGGCCACGAGGAGGGCTCTGAGCCTGGCTCCTCCTCCCTCGACTGTGATGGTAAAAGCAGCCATCAGGTACAGGAAGAGGGCAGATATCTGTGTCACAGTGAGTGCTGGAAGGCTGCAGGGGGCTGGCGAGAGTCCCATAACCACAGAACTCTGCTCTGATGCCTTAAAGATCAGACGGGCCAGGCACAGCGGTGCCCGATGTAATCCTGGTGCTCCGGGAGGCTGAGGCAGGAAGATCACAAGTTAGAGGCCAGCACGGGACACTTAGTTGATCGCTGTCCCAAGTAGAATGAAAAGTACTTAGTGCATAGGGCAGCAGCAGTGTTGTTTTCACGTGGGAGGCCCTGAGATTCACCATTGGGACCAAGAAAACGAAAGCGAGCCAGAACCAACCCAAGACAATCAGTCAGAGAAAACCAAACCAAGACCAAACTGAAACCAAAACTCAGTCAGCGCATTAAAGGAAAGACCAGAGTGATCATGGTAGAAGGCAGTGCCCTCTACAAGTTGAACACAGCAGTGGCCCAAAGCGCAGAGCTGTGCCAGACTCCCCTTTGCTAGAGAGCACAAACGCAGGTCGGATCCCTGAGTGACATCTGCCCCTGGGTCTGGCACAGGCAATCACTCTGTGCGCCAGAGGGAGGTCAGAGTGGGTCACACTGACTGAGGCTGGCCAGGTGCACAGGCAGAGTGGGGCCCTGGGACGCCCTAACCCTAACCCTAACCCTAACCCTAACCCTAACCCTCGCCTCCCCCAGGACCATCCAAGGCTTCCCAGGCAGTCTCCAAAGAATGTGCTGGTTTCAAGCTACATAAGGCAGAGGCAGCACCTTTAAAGATTTGGCCAAGTGTCCCATGAAGGAAATACTTAAGGATCTGGAAGTCTGGGGAATGGCAGGACCCCTCCCCAATTCAATTATTGTCACTCTTAATGGTGACATGGTGGATGGCCATGCAAGTCACTTGTATGCTCAATCACATCTCTGGTTGCACAATCAATTTCACTGCATGCAAGTTTGACCCAGACCCTGAGGATGTCATCTCACCCCACGTCCTGGGAGTTGTGTGCATCTTCCCTGCCATGTTCCAAGAACATCAGGTAAGGACACTGTCTTGGGGTATGAAATGGCCCAATGTATCCCCCTGAGCACCTCACAAAGACAATGTTCTCTGATTGAGGCAGAAGATAAATTAGTGAGGAAAAGGCCCTGGCCCTCAGGCAGTGTGGGTTCAGTGGATGGTGTACTTCACACTCAGGAATAATCCCCATAAAAGCAGAACACCAGGGCACTGGATGGTGCAGAACAGCAGATCTCTAGCAGCAGGCCGGGTCACGGCATGGCAGTTCCAGCCTGTGAAGCTCATGACTAACAGGCCCTGGCAACTAGAGACTGTATGGTAAGGCGGGACACTGGGAGTTTCCATAGACCCCAGCAAAGGGCAGTGCACCCCTGGGCTGTGGAAAAAAGTCAAGAGATCTACACAAACATACAGTCCTGAAAGCAGAGCCAACTGGGTACTAGGTCATAAAGGAGAAGTGCAAGGCAGTGAAACCATGTGGGGGGCTCAGTCTTTAAGCCTAGCCCATCAGCAGGTCAGGGGCACCCAGCAGCCATGGGCTATGGGTGCAAACGCTCGCCTGGTCCTTCCCCATTATCAGATAGTGTGTGAAGAGGCCCTAGTTTCCAAGGAAGCTCCTCTGCCCCAGGACACCACAAGATGCCAGTGACTGCTGGCTTCTGACTTTTACTCATTGCTTATGTTTGCCTGCAGGTGACCAACAAGTAATAGCTGGCACACTGTCCCTCCTCACCAGGCAGGGAGGGACACCTGCCCCAGGATGGAGGGATCCAGTGAGCAAGAGGGGCTGTGGCAGGGACATCTGCACTCTGCATGTTGCCAAGGCTCATGGAAATATATCTGGAAAGAGAGCAGGCGGAGTCTGGGGATGCGGGGTGAAGGAGCCAAGAGGCTGCATCACTCCAGGATAAGGCCTGAGTTCCCATGCAGTGTAATCGTGGGATCCTGCACACAGTGAGTTGATGTGAAGGAATGTGCAATGTGTGGTGCAGAGGAAACTCACCTGATAGCCTCCCACATCTTCAGAGGAGCCAAAAATAAAGTCAGAGGTGCACAAGGGCACACCTTCCGGTGGATGGCCATTGCAAGTCACTTGTATGCTCAATCACACCTCTGGTTGTACAATCAATTTCACTGCATGCAAGTTTGACCCAGACTCTGAGGATGTCATCTCACCCCGAGTCCTGGGAGTTGTGTGCATCTTCTCTGCCATGTTCCAAGAACATCAGGTAAGGACACTGTCTTGGGGTATGAAATGGCCCAATGTATCCCCCTGAGCCCCTCACAAAGACAGTGTTCTCTGATTGAGGCAGAAGACACAGGTGCAGAGAAGGTCAGCAGGGTCCAGGCTGAGAAGGGACTCAATGCTGCAGATTCCAAGAGGTGGGGTCTAGAACACAGACTGAGGAGCCAGAGAGCCAGAAGAGTCCCACCAGACAGGGTCACAGAATGCTCATCTGGAAACCAGGAGCAGCATGTGCAGCTGACACCTGGACCCACAAGGAGCAGTTTCTTTCAGACCTCCTGGTGCAAGCCCAGCAGGCCTTATGTGGGCTTGTATTCTGACACAGGATCACAGGCGCCTGCACCCCTGGATCTTGCATGGCCCTCAAACTATGTAGCCCTCAACACTGGATACAGGACAGCCTGTGTTGGTGCTGCTGCTCTCAGGGCTTAAATAAAAATTATTCACATCAACAAAACACTGTCCACCCAAGGGGGTCTTCTTCATTGTTTATTTGCAAAAGGGTCTTAAAAAGTAGAAAAATAGACATTTAATTAGCTGGGAGTTGGAGAATCCAACAGACAAATAAATACATAGTGATTGCGTGACAATAAATTAAAGCACATGCAGGACACAAATAAAATAGAGGCTTCCTTGGCAGGATTCAGGAGGGGTCCAGGACTCAGGTACACAGGTCTGCCCTGACAACACATCTCAGGTCCCCGGTGAGCAAGCGGAAGAGGTTCAAGGTGACAGAGTTCTGGAGACAGCCAGGGGACTCCTGTGGGGACACAAACAGTGCTCTGGAGCTGCCCGCGGTCGGTTATCCTGGTGTCCAGACACCAACCTTCTTGCACTCCTACCTTCTTGAAGGCCTGGTTGAGCCTCTGCAGCCAGTGGGACAGGCGGGGGCTGTGGGGTCTGGGGATGCTGTAGGTGAGGCCCGGGCCTGTGAGCAGAAATGGGCTGTGAGCTTGGCCTTCAGGAAAGAGTGGGGGTCAGAGCCCAGGTTATGCACAGGGACGCAGGACTCACACAGGCCTGCAGCTGGGCATGGATGTGACATAGTGTGGATAGGGGCTTCTCCAGAACATCCTCCAGGGCTGGGTCAGTCACGTTGCCCAGGACCTCCAGGGTCAGGGCCAGCTCAGCCTGCAGGGCCACGGGGCGCTCCCATACCTGGGCCAGGACATGGGCACAGGTGAGGGATGCTCAGACAGAAGACAGAGCAGGGGCGGGGGAGATGAGGACAGAAGGGATGAGGGGAAGTGACAGGTCAGGGGACAAGGGAAAGGTGACAGAGTGGCCAAACATGGAGAAGAATGGATGAGGACCATCATGGAGGGACAGACAGGGACAAAGCAGGAGGGCAATGTGCCCAATACCAGGCTGGAGGCTGGGACCAGTGAGTGCTGGCTGGGCCTGAGCCGCACTCACCTGCAGCTGCCTCAGGTCCCAGGTCCTGGGGAAGGGGCGTGCTCTGCACACAGTGTTCTTCGGCAGGAGCTGCTTTTCCTAGGCAGCAAATGCCCAAGTTAGCTCACCCTTGGGATGAGCCTTGGGACATTGGGTTTGGAGGATGATTCATGACAGGAAAGTGGCAAGTTTAAAACCAGGGGGTGGCGAGGGCCCTTCCACTACAGGGGACATAGTGGGGCCCTTGCAATAGGAGCACAAGGAGATGCAGAGCTGCCACTGTTTAATGAGCCCACTATGGCGAGGGAGAGGCTATAGCTCTAGGGGGGAGTTTGAGGTCAGCCCACTGCAGAGAGGGCTAGGTCCATGTCTACCTCATGTGGGGAGAGAATTCACATGGGCAAGGCTGGAGGGGAGCCCCAAGAGAGGCATTCAGGGGAGACTCACAAAGGCATCTTTGGCTGTCTTGAAGGCCTGCAGCTCTTGTGTGGGCAGAGACTGGAACTGGGCCCTATGACATTTCCTGGTGTCCAGAGAGATACAGTGGGTTCTGTCCACAGGAACTGCCCGAGTCCTGGTTGGCACTGTGACAAACACCACCATCAGCAGCAGCAGCATGGAACCTCCAGCAGGGTCTGTGTGTCAGAGGGACAGCAAGTAAGGTGCTGTTGGGTGCCAGGGCTTAATGCCTGTTTGGGCATTGACAGCCATGGCCATGCTGCGGTCTCACCTGGCTTCATCCTGCTCTTACCCTCCATGGCTGACTGAACGCAAATGTGTGCCTGAGGCTGGCAGTTCTGTTCTCTACCTCTGTCGGCCTTGGAGTCTTGAGCCTCAGTGTTACATGTGGATCTCGGCCTGCTGCTCAGTGACAAGGTGTTACTGGGTGTCCAACTCTGTCCATAATGCCGTCCTGCCTCAACTCCGGGGTGGTGCTTTTATCCTGGACTGAGGGATAGTCCCAGATGATGTGTGAAAAGTGAAAAATGCAGCCTGACATAGACACTGCCAGCCAATAGGGGAATTTGGGCTGGGAAACCAGAGGGGGCAGGGCCTCAGCCAGGTGAGGAGTAAGGAAAGAGAACGTTCTAGGCCCTGACTCACAGGACTGGAAGTGAGGTGAGTGAGGAATCCTCAGGGCTAGGGCCCTTTTAGCACACACTGTTGGATGGTAATGGGACTGGATGGATCTGGGATACAGAGCTGAATAGGGGCTTGAATAGTCCAGGTAGTGGGAAGGAATGTCAGACCCCCTCATACCCTTAGCAACTGCCTGACAACTGAGAGCTTTTTAGAAGAATGTCTAGGGTGGGCAAAGGTATATAAAGGAGACTACCTGTTGATGGTTTGGGTAGGGAAACCCCAAGTCTGGCCACTCTTCCCCATATGTCACTTACAGGGGTTGGGGAGGTGACCAAGCTGCCACAGAGCCCCTTCATTGTCAGAGACCTGGAGAACTCAGGAGATTGAAACTGTTCTGGAGTTGTAGTGAGACCAAAGGTCCTGTGGGCCCCACAGATTTGCCACCAAGGCCTTATTCAGTCCACAAGGACTGCTGGGCTCCAGCCTCACAACGCACACTGTACGTGATGTCAGGAGACGGCTTTCCGGGGAAGAAATCACAAAGCCACTGCTCATGGAGCTTCCGGCTCCAACCCTTCTTTTTCTCATTTACAATTTGTGGGAGAGAGGGACACTGCAAAACTCTGTGCTCTCATTCACAAGACGTTTCCGAAGCAAGGGCAGGATTGGCCCAAATCACCGTCCTGTTCCACTGTAAGGCAAGGTTTAGTTCTGGCTGCGGGAGAAAGCCGTGACTGTGCAGTGTTGTAGATTGCAAACCTATGCATCATCGGGGTGTGTGTGTGTGTGTGTGTGTGTGTGTGTGTGTGTGTTCGTGTTTTGCTGGTGGTGTATATAGGCCCTGCACATTCTCCGTGCATGCTCTATCACTCAGCTCTGCCTGACTTCTTTCTCTGAGAATGTAGTTCAGTGAGGGAAAAACTCAGGCTCTGCAGCAAAACACGGGCACATACTTACTAATTCTGACCTGTGAGACTTCTAAGGCCTTTGAACCAGATGCGCAGTTCCCAGCACAAATTGGTACCCACACATTCAGACACAGAGGACGATGGGATCACTTGTTTATAAGGCAAGTAGAAAACCCCCGTTTTGTACAGGGGGAAACTGAATCTCTGGGAAAAGCCATGTGCAGTCACACTCTGCACCAGCCTACAGAATAGGAAATGCACATGGGATTTGCACAAATGGGAGTAACATACACCTAAAAGGATCCAAAGAAAGATAACAACTCAAGGACATTTCAGCCTTTCACTTTCACTTGGGAAATGGGGCCCTCGTGGTTGCACTCCCAGAGTCACAGATTCAGAGGAGTCCTGCATAGTGTAAATCCGTGGGGGCGGGGGTGCGGGTGGGGCGGGGTGGGGGAGGGAACGTTTGGAACTCAGCAGAAGCTGAGATGGCGGGGCACCCCAGGAGCAGGGGCTGGTTCCACCATAGGCAGAGTCCGCCGCGATCATGCCCAGAGCGCAAGTCAATTCCTCAACGCCGAGCAGGCGGAGCTTCGGGCAACTCCTCCCGCAAGCAGCGGCGCTTTGCGCTACCGAGGACATCTCCGCCTTTGGAAATTTTCGCGCTCTTCCCTTGCCCTGCGCAGCGGCGTCCAGGTCTGGCCAATCGTGGCAGACAGTCTCTCGAGCCTCCTATTCTTTGGCCGGCGGACACGCCCGTCGAGGAAGCTGCAGCCAATGGCGTGGAGTGTACGAGTCCCGCCAAACCTGAGCAATGTCAGACGCAGGGCCCTGAGGTCGCCGCCAGCCTGAGGTCCCGGGTGAGCAAGCGCAGCAGGTTGAAGATGACAGTGGCTTCGTGGCAGCGAGCCGAGTTCTGGGCGCCAAGCGGGAAACAGAGTCAAGCTTCGCCCACCTCAGAGCCCAGAGCCCGCTGGCCAGCGCTGGAGCCCCGGGGTGCGTCCCACGCTGTGCCCTCTCGGGTACCCTGAGGCCGAGCTGCGCGGCCTCACTCACCGCTCTGCGCAGCTCCGGGCGCCTTCTCCGGGGCTGTAAAGATCTCCTCCCGGGGCGCAGCCGGGCCAGCTGCAACTGCGGGGACAGGCGGTGAAGGGGGCGCTTAAGTTCTCCCGTTTCTGCTGGCCCTGGCCCGGACACCGCCCCCCTTCAATAGCCCGACTCCAGTGGCCCGGGACAGGAGTCCTTGGGTCCCACTCCCACCCCGGGCGTCCTCTCAGGCGCAGCTGTCACTTACACAGGCAGCCACGTCCCTGCCGGCGGCCTCCAGCAGCTCGAGCGTTGCGCCTGCTCCGGGGAAGCGCTCTGGGCTGGGCAGACCACCCAGCACCACTTGGGCTTCTGCGATGCTTCGGGCCACTCGGCGGAGCCAGGCGCAGGACTGTGGGGGCGACAGCGTTAGGGGCACAGCGCTGTAGGGACAGCGCTAGGAGGCTATAGGATCAGGGGTGACAGTGTTAGGGGGTGATAGCGTTATGATCTCCGCCCAGGCCTCGCCTCCAAGCTCACCGAAGGCCTGGACAGATCCCTCGCCGTGCGTGCAGAGCAGTTGCGGGGCTGCCAGCCCAGCGTCTCCTTCTCCTGCAGCACAAGCAGAGCAGGTGAGGCCAGGACTCCTCCTGGGGCCCCTGCCAGGCTGCCCTGCGTCCTAGACCAGGCTGAAGGGCCAAGGAACGCCCTGGCATCCTCTGAGGAGCCTGGAGACTCCAGGATGCCTCGAGCTGGCCCTGAAATGCACCCCATGTTGCTCCTGCCCATCCCTGCGCCCCTGCAGCAAGCTGGTTCCCCTTGTGACCACTCTCCTCCCTGACACAGGGAGACACAAGGCAGTGTCTGGGTCTGAATTGTGGACCTGACACAGGAGGTGAGCCTGCAGGCAGGAGGACACAAATGTTCCTTGGGAGAAGGACTGCTGTCTCCAAGGTTGGTGGGTCAGGGCAGGGCTAGCAGTGCCAAGGGCCCAAGGGTCACTCACATAGCTGTCCCTCAGAGCCTTGACTGCTGCCAGTGCCCTGGGGTCCAGGGAGCGGTAGTGTGAGAGCAAGCAGCGCCTGTGGGCCACCAGGCCTTGGTCTTCAGCCACCCTGGTGTCGGCGGCCACGGCCAGCATGCACAGGATCCCCAGCCCTGCAGCCAGTGCGGCTCTGCCACTTGGCTCCATCTCTGCCCCTGCAGGCAGCAAGGAAGTCAGGGAGTCTAGGCACAAGGCCTTTGGAGGCCACCGCTGCTTCTCTTTCCTCTCCCACAGGACTGACTGATGCTGGGGCACTGGGTGCTGGTCGTGGGGGCAAGATCACCCCACAGGGGCCGAGCTGCCCACTTTCCCTCAGCTTTACCCGTGTTGCTCACCTGCAGTGCCCCTTGGGTGAGTGGTTCTGCCGCCTGGCCTGCCTCCCCTGTCCTGCAGGAGGTATACAGAGTGATGTGGGCCTCAGCAGTGCTACCCTGACCAGCCATGGTAGCTTTTATGTGCCTGAATGCGAAAAGAGTGAGCAATTGGGCTTCCCCATCCTGGGAATCTCTTTCCAAACGTCAGCGCTGGGCCCAAGCGCTGTAGGATCCTTGCCAGGCAATGAGGACTTTAGCCACAGTGCCCTTTTGCCAGGGATGATTTGGGCCCAGTTCTCTCTCCAAAGCAAACTATCTCATCTGGTCTGTGCACATCTGTTTGTTTTCTGTTACTGTTTTTGGTTGTTCTGCACTCTAGGAATGAACTGCATACACACCTTTCCTTTTGAGTGAGCCCGCTAGCATTTCTGGGATTTCCACCTGAACAGGTACCTGAGGGTCTCACAACACCTGTTTTTAGAGAGCTTCTTCAGCATCCTTTGCCTTACGATTACATTCTGTTCATCTGCCCCTGTATTTGTATTTTCTTTTGCTACCTTAATACCCCCTTACTCTTCTCTCTGCTTTTTCATTATCCATGTCTCAGGTGAGCTCTTTCTGCATTTCCTATTTATTTTATTCATTCTGCCAAGGATGTAACCAGTGACCCCCGGTGTGTTAAGACAAGTGCTCCACCGGGGAGCCATACTCCAGCCCAGTGTTTATTTCTTTCCCAACTCTAAAAGCATTGTCATGTTAAAAATTAGAATTATGGACTTCCTTTTAAATGATAGCTAATATGCCCTAGGCCCCTGCAGGCCCTCTTCATGTGCCCTGTGGTTTTCTCCCCAGCAACACTGTGAGGTAAGTCATCTTATTGGCTGGTGTTTCATAGTTGAGGACACTGAGGCTCAGGGAGGCTACACCTCCTGCCGGAACTCACACACTGGGGAGATGTGAAGTGGAGATTTGATCTTAGCCTACCTGGGTATTATTAGCAAAACTCTTCTATCTCTTAGCTGATCCATATAAAATAGCTTAAATATGTTTTGAGCAAGTTTGCCAACTTCTCTAAATGGGACTGCTTTTAATCACAATTAAATTCATTAACAAATATTGATATTACATTTAATTAGTGACTTCTATGGATGTGTGCCTTTCCTTACATTCACATGACAAAATTATTTTATATGTTTTAGTGCACATTTGTCTTGCTCAAAAGTATAGAACTATAGTGATATTGAAATAGTTGAAGTATAAAACCTAAAAATACAAGACAGCAATTCTCCTCAAACATTAGAAGAGGTCCCACAAAGTGTGACAGCAAAGCATATCTTCCAAGGTTTGGTTAACCTCATCCACCCTTTCTAGCATCATATATTTCATTTGGGAACCAAAATTACTTTGGAAAGGTAATTTCATCCCCCATACCTGAAGTAGGGTCCCTGAGCTAGCTGCAGCTATTTACCTCCATTTGTCTTCCTGGTTGAAGTGCCTGGAGTTTTGGCAGTCATGTGGCCTAAGCCAATCTAGCCAGAATGAATCTCAGTCCTGGGTATCTTAGGGAAAGGATGTCATGTCCTTTCTTCCTCCTGGAAAAAAGTGAGGTTTGAACCCTGAGGAGCCACTACCACATCTTGGAATTACAAGTATAAACAGCCTTCTCACCAGCTGAAGGGAGACCTGAAGGGTCTGTCTGTCTGTCTGTCTGCCTGTTTGTCTGTCTGTCTGTCTTTTCTTTGACAAACTGAAAGTCTGGGGTGTTTAAGCCCCTGAATCAAATCTTACCTGAAGCCTCACTTCTAACTCTGGACTTCTCAGTTTTCCAAGCTGTTATGGTTTGTGTCTAGTTGTCTCCCCAAAGCCTCATGTAGTCATGGGGTGGGGACTTCTAGAATTTGAGATTAATCCATGATCAAGGTAGGGGTTATGGGTCTTGGTACTGCTGGGATTATGAGTGTGAGTGTTACACCCAGCCTGGGGCGTATAGCCTGAATGCCACTTAAGGGAGACAGTAGCCACTGTTGCCACTACTCCTTCCTTTGCTGTCTTCCTGTTTGCTGCTTCCATGTAAGCATGCTGCCTGCCATGTGCTGCCCTGCCTTGGAGCCAGCTGAGTATGGACCGAAACCTCCACTAACTGTGAGCTAAATAAACCTTTCCTTCCTTCATTTTGGGAGTCGAGTATTTGTCCCAGAAATGAGAGAAGAGTAACTGAGACACAAGGCCATACATTCCCCATTGTTCAAGCCAGTATAAATTGGATTTTTTGTTTATTTCCCACCAAAAATGTCCCAAGTGATATACAGCTTAGGGCTGAAATAAAATCATATGTCTTCAAAGATCAAAGAATTACAAGTAAAATTAGTAATGGCTAGAAGTATGGAGGGCCATAAATACCAGATGCAGGGCCAGCCTCATAGCTAAGCAGACTAAAGCTCCTGCTTAGGCAGAGTGCAGCAGCCTGGGTTCGATCCCCAACTTGCCGTGCTGGCCCCACCCCCAGGGGTGCACTGAGACAGTGACTGGGGTGTGGTGGTGCACACCTGTAATCCCAGATATGGGGAGGCTGAGACAGGAGGATCACTACCAGTCCAAGCTGTGTAAGACCCTGTACCAAATAAATAAATAAATAAATAAATAAATAAATATTAAGAATTAAAACAAACAAAACCAAAACAAGCAACAAAAATTGTGGAGTCCTAGTCAGCTCAGCAATTGTATACCTGGACATTTATTCCAGAGAAATGAAAACTTACATTCATGCAATAGCATAATTTTTGCTATTCAAATGTTCACAATAACTGTATTTGTAATTGCTGAAACTAGAAAGCCCAGATATCCTTCAAATGGTGAATGGCTAAACAAATTCTAACACACAAATACTGTGAAATCAAAATGCACTATTGATACCTGCAGCAACCTGCATGAATATCCAGGCAGCTGTGCTGAGCAAGGAAAGCCCACCTCAAAAGACTACACACCGCATGTCCCTAATTAGGTAATATTTCAAAATGATGAAATCTTAGAAGTGGAGAATAAACTTGGTTGTTGCACAGGGACAACGTAGGTAGTAGAGGGAGGGAGGCAGCGTGTTTGTCAAAGGCAACACTGGGGCTCTTGTGGGAATTAAATATATATATATATATATATATATAATATTTGGTACAAAGTCTCACTATGTAACTTGGACTCGTAGTGATCCTCCTGTTTTCAGCCTCCCCACGCCTGGACTTGTCGGCCAGCTCAGCATGCCTAGGGGAAGGGGGCAGCGTAGCATGTGGTGCTGGAGATCAGGGATCAGGGATTGAACCTGGTCCCTGCGCTTGCTTAAGCAGACCCTTAGTCCACTGGAAACTGCTCTATGTTGACTGGCAGTGCATGCATTGACCTAAACATTTGACAACACTGTATAAAATAACATATACACATGCACACGCACATGCACATGTGTACACACACAGAGAGAAGCACTAAAAAGAGGTAAAATAAGATATCAGAATAAGATAAATGAAATGTGCCAATGGTGTATCCTAGTTGTGATATTGTACTACAGTAATTATAAGACATTACCACTGGTGGAAACTGAATGTATTACCTCTCTCATTTTTAATTGTTATGACCAAATAACTAGAAAAACACAGTAGGGGAGGAGAAATCTACTTTGGATCATGGTTTCAGAGGTTAAAGTCCTGGTCATTTGGCTTCTGGGTCCCCATGGTGTGGCAGAACATCAGGGCAGACAGTCCTGGTGGAGGAAAATCGCTCCCTGAAGAGGCAGAGCGAAAGGCCAGGTACAGTCCCCAAGTCACAGCCCTCTGACCCGAGCCTTCAGTCTGCCCCACCGCCAGTTCCCATCACCTCCCAATGATCAAAATATGATCTCATCAATGGATCGACCCAATCCCTACCCCAAAAGCCCATTACCTGGCAACCAAGACCTCAGCACACGACCTTAGGGGACACTTCAAATCCAAACCACCATGCAGGGTGAAGGATGCCCAGGATCTCTACAAGTTATTTCTCATAATAGCACTCAAATTTTCCATTATCCCAATAACAGGGACCTGTCAGCTCAGTTGTTTAAGTGTCTGCTTATGCAAATGCAGTCAGGCGCAGGATACTGAGGTTCAATCCCCACCTCCACCTGCATTAACAGACACGGCCTTAAGGCAGCCTGAGCCAGCCCAAAAAAAATCATTCCCTTTATCCCAATAACAATTTCAGTCAAAACAACTCCGGGGGAGAAATGAAATCCACAAGAAGCAAATGGCCTGCTCCGAAGTTTAACCATGGGAAAAGTGTCGAGGGTTTAAGGAACCAAGGGCAGGTGGCACACACAGGGAATAGCAACAGGAAACCATTACTACTCCCAGGCACGACAAGCAGAGAGTGGAGCTGTAGACAGAGAAACAGCCTTGCTGGAAAGGAACCAGGCAAATAGAGAACAAGTACCCCAGCCCTGCCTTTCCACCCACCCTCATTCTCCTGCCAGCCCCTCCAGCCTCCAGCACACCTGAGGGCACCACAGCACAGGGTGCGGGGTGAGGCAGTCCTTCGCTCAGCCATTACCAGCAAGCCCAGGGATCAGATGAATCTCCTCTACCTCTAAGAAAACTCTCAGAAATTCTCCACCATACCAGCCGTAGAAGCAGCAGTGGTCTGGTATTCTCTTCCTATCCCATGAGTTTGATGTTTCAGTTCTCAGTCTCTCAAGTAGAATTTATTCTCTTTGTAAGAAATTCAAATATTTATAATTCTAAATATTCCTATGATCACTGCCTCAATTTTCATGCTTTCCCCAGAGATAGCCCACAGTTAATGTGAGACACA